TACAATAACATGTTTCATGAATTTGGCTGGTGGAATACGTTGTCTAAATGCCACTTGTTCCTCCTCATCACTGTCTTCTTGCACATGTCTGATTTTTTTCCCCTTCGCAGACTGTACATTTGCTGGAGTTTCCTTCCTTTTTTTTTGGCACGGGTACCACTTTTTCCTTATCAGCGACGCTAATATAAAATATGAAACAAAATAGATTTAATGCATGAAACAATGTAATTAGTATATGAAACAATACATGTACTTTATGGAACATAATTAATAAAAAATGAAACAGAATTGTTATTATTCCGGAAAATGGAAAACTGAATTAATTTATATATTATATGAAACATTTATATGAAAAACTGAAACAATTTGCATATTTTATGAATCATCATTAAAAAACAATTCAACTACATTTTAACATAACGTTGACAACACAATTGTTTGGAACATATACATAAATAAATGAAACATATGGTGTGATTTTTTGAAACATATTGTATAACATATCACTACACCTAGTTCATATGGAACCCAACTATATGAAACAAGAAATATAATAAATGAAACATTAATCTGAAACAATTGAGACATCTAACAAACAAAACGAACGCATATCACTACATTTAGTTCATAAAGAACCCAACTATATGAAACAAGCAATATAATATATGAATCATTGATATGAAAATATGAACCATCTTACAAACAAAACGAAACCATATTACTACATCTAGTTCATAAAGGACCAAACTACATGAAACATGCAATATAATAAATGAAACATTGATTTGAACAATTATAACACTTTATATATTTTATGAAACATCATTAAATTACAATTAATCTACATTTTAACAACACAATTGACTGTGACATTAGTTTATTTAATTTTGAAACAATAACAACAACTTATGGAACAAATCAAAATTACTCTTATAATTCAAAACATAACAACGTTCAGAAACAATGGTTCATTTTTCCGTTACAATAATTCCAAATACAGAAACACTATAACAAAATTATGGAACAAAATTAATTTGATACTAATTTTAAATCCCTAGTTGCAGTAATTTGAAAAATACCAAAACACAATCTATATAATTTTTGAAACCCTAAGTATAATTCGCGCGACATTAACAATAAAATTGGAAACATTACTTTGTCAATTGAGCTTCCGCCGTTGGTGGTTGTACGTTTTCCGTCGGTTGTTCGGCTGTAGCGGGAACGCCGGCCTCCTCCCTAGTTGAAGTAATTTGAAATGCCAAAACACAATCTATGTAATTTTTGAAACCCTAAGTATAATTCGCGCGACATTAACAATAAAATTGAAAACATTACTTTGTCAATTGAGCTTCCGTCGTTGGTGGTTGTACGTTTTCCGTCGCTTGTTCGGCTGCAGCGGGAACGCCGGCCTCCTCCGTAGGGTTTTCCCCCTCCACTCCATCCAACTCTCTTCGCAACCTTTCTCTGTTAAAAACCAAACATTTTGAAAATTTAAAACCCTAACTGTTTACATTATCTTATTTTCATCATAATTTACTGAATTATAAAAAACTTACTGAAATTTCTTGAAACTCTCCTTGCTTTGGTAGTCCTTTTTCTGCGTTTGTTTTTTCATTTTGCTAACAAAATCGAGAATGGGTATTTTTGGGTAGTTTTTGGTGTTTTATAGAACAGTGTAGCAGTTACTTCCGTTTTTCTCCCAATGGAAGTTATTTGGCGCGAACACAATTGAAGTAAGATAATTGATTTTTGAAATGATGTAAATTTGTAAGAATAATCGGTGTGTAAGGGAAGCAAACCAACCGTCAGTTTTTATTAGACATTAAAATTGCAGTTTTAAATTTTCGAGGGAAAACGTGATCATTGTCTCAATAAATGCACGGTGGGTATACATGTGCATATGTCTAATCTCAGCCGTTAGTTTCATAATTTTTAATGGCATAAGATTGGTTCTCATTTTAACTTGGTTCTCATATAAGGCTTGGTTCTCACATGATCCCTCCCCTATATATATATATATATATATATATATATATATATATATATATATATAATTTTTGGATTGAAATTAATTATGAACAAGATATGGAAAAAAAAATTGTACTTTCACAAATGATCAATAATTGATGGTGACACACTATCTCGGAAATCCTGGATCCGCCACTGCGCGCATCGCACGCGTTAGCCACCCTTGTTACGTATAAAATTAGTGAATCAAACATTAGGGATGGAGTAATTTGATATTGTTCAACCTAAACAGAATGTAAGTAATAAAAGAATCATCTCTAGCAATATTAACTTTAGGCCAATTGTAACTAGAGGCCAGGTAAGTAATGAATGGCTCCTTGTTGAAATTCTTGTAATGATATCGGAATTTATTGCAATCGATTCTTCATAATTTTCACCGAAATAGGAATTTGTTGTAATAAGCACTTGGGAATGAGAACGTAATTATTATGGTACCCTATTATTTTGTATAGTTAAATAATTTTTGCTAATATATTTAAAAAGATTAATACGATTTGGAATTGGAGTGAGGAATAAATTGTTGCTCAATTTTTCTTTCTTTCAAAAATAGACTTGGAATTAATGATTTGCGCTCCTACATCAATGTACTTCATATCAAATTGTGGATCCTGCTTTTGACAACTTTACATTGGAATCAATGTTTGATTGTTTGACAAAGTTTTCAATAAGTTCTCAATTTTGTTACTAGGAGCCAGAATTGATTTTGCATTGGTGTTTTAGATGCTAAATCGAAAGTTGAAAGTTTGTAACAAAAACTATTTCTTGCCCATGATTACAACAATTGATACAAATTTGATGATTAAAATACATTAAGTTATGAGAACACCGAAAAATCGCTTTGTTATTAAGATATGTTAATTTGATGAAGATTGTTTAAGTTCAAAATATCGTTATTGAATAAACGTACGACAAGTTATATTTTGTCATAAAGGGATTTTTGTTGTATAATTTACTTCCTACTCTCTCTTTCCCATAATTGTTCGAACGTATACAAAGTTTTAGATGATAAGTTGCTAAGATGTTATCAATAATTATGTAATAGGAAAGAATATATATACCCCCTCTCCCTTATTTTTTGTCCCATTGCAAATAAATGGGTCAAATTTAAAAAACTTTGACCATGAATTCTCTATAACGATAATATATTCATGTGGAATCTAGTTATAATCATCTTATTGTATATTTTAGTAATATATATCAAATATTTATAATTTTTATGCGTAAAGAAATGGAGATATTTACGTTTGAGCACGTGTCTTGGACACCTTGAAAAGTTAAATGGGGCAAAAATTAAGGGACGGAGGGAGTAATATACCTGATCAAAGTTGACCCAGCCCGAAAAAATGTTGGGTTTGGGCAAAATAATTATTTATTTATTTTTTGGGTTTTTGGCAACCTAAAAATTCAATTTTAGTTTAAATTTTGGGTGGCTAAATGTTGGCCCGAAAAACTTGCTACTTTTAGCTTGAATAGCGGGTTTGGGCACAGTTTTTTCGGCTTGAAGTTGGGTCCACTTCGGGCCGAACCTTTGGTCCAAAATTGGCCAATTTTATTGTGTTGGCTCATGATTACCTCTAGGATATCGTAGGGTTAGGGTATTAGTTTTATTGAAAAAGCAGATGTGATGGAAGATAATGGAATATTTATTTAGCGTGGGAGGCTTTTAACTTTTTTGGTAGTGGAAAGAGAGATGTATTGAAATGATGATTGAATTTTGAAATAAAAGTTATTCAAACTAATATGAAATGGGCAAATTAGTTAAATGTTCAAACTATTTAGAGATGTACTTGTAACAATGTATGGCAACTTGTTAGTGGTTCGGTTTTATCAACAAAGTATTGGCTCACTTGATAAGATTCTTACCTTAAATTCTAGAGGTTTGGGGTTTAAATCCTATCAAATAAGGGTACCCACCTCTACTCCCAAGTACTTAACCTGTAAATATTAGACCAAAAAAACCTTAAGAATAGAGTTAAGGTCATCACGCCGCTGTGCGTGTTGCTTCCCAACATTACAAGAGCACTTCCCACAATTACAAGAAATTAGGGGTTCCAATCTATCAAGTTCATCCCACAAAACCGCTAATTTACTATAATAAACCGCAACTGTCATGTTTTTCAATTGCTCACATCTATTAATTTCAAATTTAATCTGTTGAATTCTAGGGCCATTAACGAGACAAAAACGCTCATGTAAATCATCCCACAATTTCTTAGCATTATCATAATGTGAAAGCATAGATTTTACCTCGGGATCGATTGTGTTCATGAGCCAAGAAACTAACATACATTGAATTGTTACCCAATCATCCTTCGTACATGGCGGCTCGAAGGTGGTGATACTACCATCAAGAAAACCAAATTTCCGGCGAGAGCAAAGAGCAAGTCGCACGGCATGAGACCAATCGTGAAAATTGTCCAATTTTAGGCGTTGTGAGGTGATGTAATCCCCGGGCCGATCTTGCGGTCCAAGGTAGAAAGGGGAGTTTGATTCAATTTTTGTAGGTGCCGGTGGAGGAGATGTGTCATCCCCGACGGCCATTATTGATGTTTACAGAGAGAAAAAAAAACCAAGGCTCCGATACCATGTAGAATTGTATAAACTTACGGCTTAACCTTTCATTAATTGGAGCAAAACATATATATACAATGCTAATTCCTAGAGATACCTTAATTAGGTTACTAGAAATTAGGAAACAATATGAAAGATAATACCAAATATTCCACAAAATATATCACACAAAATATATCCGCAATAGATACTCTTTACCAATTAAAAAAAAAGTTGTTAGTGATTTTGTCGCATATTCTTAGCTTAGTATTCCACTTCGTATACCTCATGAAGATACAGCCGAAGATTAAAGAAAATACAAATACCGAAATACGTGAACGAAGCCCACACATGCAGCGGTGTAGGAGGTAAAGGCAGGCCACATTAAACTTGGATTACGCAAAATAATTGACTCGCATTTCCTCCATTTCGCCCATGTCCTGCTAATCTGCATGTTGCATGCACCTTGTCTTCTCTCTCTCCAACTCCACGTGTCCTTCCCCCTCTCCTACGCGTGTCCCCTTTTTACATCTCATCATCACCCTTCTTTTTGTCTCCTACCCTCGCCTCCAAAATTAAATACTCTCAAACAATTTCATCATCCAAAAACCCTACCGAAAATCTTGCATATCTCTCTACAGATTACTAGCTTAAGTTTATCATCCACTGAGATAATCATGTGATCAAGCTTACTCAACTAATTTCAGGTACCTTTCTTAGTTGCAATTATCAATACAATTTTGCATGCTTAATTTGCTGTTAATTTTGATTTATATAATTGGTTCATTTATAGATGTTCTTAATTAGGAAAATACATAATTTACCGTATTTTTTGTTTGAATTTCTGCCGATTAATTGCGCAAAAGGAGACTATTGAATGTTCATCATACTCGAGTGCTATTGAACTGAGTTTTAGAAGTAGTGTACGATTCTCTGTTTTAAGTAATTTGAATACATAATAAGAAGTTATTTGGTACTTGTTGTGTTGGTATTCTGAAGTGATTGACTGACTGATGGACTATATATGGAATTAGAAAAGTAAATTTAGTGCGCAGATATGAGTGATTAGAGATATTCAATTGATTACGAGTCGAATTCACAGGTGTAGCATATTGTTTTAGTATATTTGACGAAGGCATAGTACAATTTCTATAACAAATTACTTTTAGTATAAGTTAAGGTGTTTGATTAGTATAACATTGATAGTATTAGTGAATTCGATTTAATCGAAACTGTACTCAAACCCGTAGTAGAATAAACAAAGTACAATTTATTATCGCAACACGAAAATTAGCATATATGGTCAAGATACTAACTGGGCTCACCACAAAATATGTTATAGTTGTCCAATGTGCTCTTTGCCAAATACTCACTATAGTAGTTTTTATTGATATGCCATTCTTTGCTGGTCAGGGTCTTACTAGATGGAGGAAATCGAAGAAATAGATCCTGGTGATGAAGAGGAGTATTGGAAGATTCAAGATTTCAAAAATTACTCAAAATTCTATGAAAGCAATAGCAAGTTAAGCCGGATATGGAAAAGAGGGGTAAGTATAGGGAAGAAAATGGTGGTAACAGGTGCCGTGGTCTCGTCTGCCTCCTTTGTTCTTCCTCCTCTTGTAGTTTTGTCTGCTATAGGGGTTGCATTTTCTGTTCCCGCTGGCTTTGTGATTGTCTCATATGCATGTGGTGAGAAGCTTTTGAACACTTTGCTGCCTATGCCTTTGGCACTTCCTTATGAAGGAAATGGGCCAATGTACAGTGATGAGTCAGGAGAGTACATCGTTTATGGAGATGATGTTGACAACGGATATGAAGGGGATGAGGACATTCAATTGGAAGAAGACCTTAGAAAGGGGATGGAAATGAGGATTGAATTGGCTGAGGAAAATAATAAAGAGATTGAAAATCATGAACAATATGCCAACGAGGATGAACTAGATAAAATGTCATCAAAAGTGAGTGAGATTGTTGAAGAATGGGGATATGAGGAAGATCTTGGGGAGTACAATGAGGATGATGAGCAACCCTTAAATTCAAAAATGATTCCCGAGATACTAAAAGGGATTGAAGAGGCAGAAAATGAGATTTCTTTAATAAAGAAAGAAGAGGGTGAGATGCCAAAAGATTCATTGAAGGCAGTTGTAGTGGAGGCCCAAGTAGGTTCGGAGAATGAGAACAATGTTGAAGAAGTAACAGAAGACATGGCCTTTGTAGGTGGGGAGGATGAGAGTAGTGTTGATCAAATTAGGGGGTATGAGTCTCTTGGGGAGTACATAGAGGATGAGGAGCAACCTTCAGATTCAAAAATAATAGCTGAGTTACTAGAAGGGATCCATGACGAGGAGAATGAGATTTCTTTTATGGAGAAAGAAGAATATGAATTCCCAAGGGCAGTTGTAGAAGCTCAAGTAGGCGGGGAGAATGAGAATAATGCTGAACACATAATGGAAGACATGGCCTTTGCATCACCAAGAAACATAGAAGAGTACAAGGGAAATTCGACTGGCATAGAAGAGGAAGAGTTAGATAGGGAGATGTCAGGATTGATTAAAGAAATGAGTGATGAGGGTATAGATAATCAGAAAAGAAAACACAGTCCAGCAGAGGAAACACATGAAGAAAATGAGGAATTTGGAAGAGCTCTCATAAAGGATATGTCTCAAGAAAAGGGAAACATGAATCTCACTATCATTCCCAAGAAGGTCAAAGAGGCAGAGAATGAGATCTCTTTAATGGAGAAGAAAGAGAGTGAGATGCCAAGAGATTCATTATGGGCAGTTGTAATAGAGGCTCAAGTATCTGAGGAGAATGATAACTATGTTGAACAAGTAATGCTAGATATGGCCTTTTTAGGCGGGGAGAGTGAGAACAATGTTGAACAAGTCAGGGGTTATGAGGAAGATGTTGGGGAGAAAATGGAGGATGAGGCAGAGAATGAGATACTAGCAGGGATCAAATGGGCCGAGAATGAGATTTCTTTAATTGAGAAGGATGAGAGTGGGATGCCAACAAATTCAGTAAGAGCAGTTGTACTAGAGGCTCAGGTTAGTGGGGAGAATGAGAATAATATTGAACAAGTAACAGAAGATGTGGCCGTTATCATACCAACAATAGAGGTAGAAAAGGACAATAGGTGCAGGGGAAATGATGCTGGTTTAGAAGAGGGCGAACTAAGAAGGGAGACAACAGGATTAATTGAAAAGATTAGGGATGAGGGTAAAAATGACTGGAAAAGAAAAGACAGTCCAGAAAAGGAAGCACTAGAAGAAAATGAGAAATCTGAAAAAGGATCCGTGAAAGATGTGTCTGATGAGATGGGAAACAAGGACCTTACTGTCATTCTTGAGAAACCTAAGCTAACCATCAGTGACAAGGGAATGATACAAGGCCGCAAAAGTGATACAAGTATTGATGTTGATGAGAGTGGATTAATGTATGAAGAGCCAAGATCTTCTGGTCGAAACCAGCTAGTGGTAAATGTGAAGGATGATGAAAATTGTATTGCCACTGAGGTTCATCAAGGGATCAGTTCGGATAATCTAGGAACTTCAGTTCTTTCCAATAAAGACAGAGAAATGACCGGTGAAAGCGGGTTTTATTGTTCAGACATTGGAACTGAAGAGCCCGATCAATTTGCAGATTCATTTGACATAGTGCCTGAAGGTAATTAGTTGGTTTTATAATAGTAAATTCAAGTGTCAAAGTTGTTGATAATGTTTGATTGTTTGGTTTTTAAGTTGTGAGAATTCTGGAATTGAATTTGTTTTATGGCTGTGCAGGGGATGATGTATCTTTGAATAAAGAGGTTGAAGTACCTGTTGATTATCGTGAGGTTGTGATTGAATCACTCCCTGTGTCTGAAACTACGGAAACTGCACCGGATCAAGGAACTGCTTCTTCTGATAAGGTTACAAGTTTTTGCTAGTTTTCTCTGTATTTAGATTTCATGAAATTGGCTTTACATTTGCATGAATATGACAATGTTTTTGTCTGTCAATTAAGATTATCTCATGAGCATACTTTATAATTTCTTTTTCTGCTGGTTTGTAAATTGCTTTGTTTGACAGTATAATTTAGGGCTTTCTAAACTCATGGATGTTGAGCACCTTAGGTTCAATTTTAGGCTGTCTGAAGCATTCGTACGTGTGATCATTCTCCTACATTAACTTTGGAAGAGCCCAGTATGTCATTCATTATTTAACTGCACGTAAAAATTGCCTATTGCCCTGTGAAAACAATGTGCCAAGGGTTATTTATCTGGAAAACGACATCACAAATCTGAAATTTTTACAAGTACATATGTATAGCAGTATAGCCATATAGGTATGTAAGCATCCAGTATTTCTGTTAAGAAAATGTACAGTCTTACATCTTTGACCCATGTAGATGAATTATGGTCCATTGTAGCTTGCGTATAACAAACTAAATTGTATGAAATAAACGAGGGTAGATACCTTGCTGCATAGATTCCTGAATTGCTTGTAGACTAGGACCTTGTCTGGAGCCTGCATTGCCATTGATCATAAGCAAGCCACTATAATTCTTGGACTTTTTGCAGGTTAAACTGGACGAGGATAAGATATGGGAGCAAATCAATGCGATGCGAACCATTGTGGGTTACAAGGATGCTCCTCACTTTTCATGTGCCGAGGAGCTAAAGGCACTTTATGTGTTTACAGGGGTCGAGCCACCAGCCACATGCAAGGGCCCTGCCGATCTAGCAGATATCAACGAAAATCTCCACTTTCTAATGTCTATAGTTGGCGTCAAGTAGATTGTTTTACTTAATTAGGTAGTTAAACATTTTCCCTTTTGGAATTGTATATTTGTTCTTGACGACTTTGGAATATTCTTGTGCTTCAAGTTAGTGTAGTGTTAGTTTGTTGTGAGATTACAAAATGTAGCAGGTTGCTTGCTTAGTGTTTTTATTGTAAGAGTGGACGAAAATTCATCACATCACATTGTTAAGGTGTAAGTGCATGTGTATTGTCATTTGTCAGCTAAAAAATGAACTATAGAGCACAACTTTAATGGGAAAGTATATTAGCATGTTATTATTATCTGCTGATATTTTGGCTTTCGGTTGCGTAAACTTCCCAAAGCTGTCATTCGTGTGTTCATTAGAAGAAAGAAAGATGTTACATGAATGTTCATTGAGTGTCACATGAAATTCAGGATACTTTAATGATGGTACCACTTGGGCTTTGTTCGATAAGGTAACTTTATTAAGTGGTGGTGAACTGGTGACTGGTGATAAAATTACTAAAATGTACTTGGTCGTTTAGACAAAAGTAATATTCATTATTTTCTTTACTACTTTGTATTACATTTACAAAATGAGTATCAAGAAATTGAAATATGTTAACTATATATCTAAACGTTCTTCAATTTAATTTTTCATTAAACCTTTCATTGAATATCAATGTTATGCAAAATACATTAATTAGAATGTTAGGCGTCTTGAACTATGCTAGAAAGTAGTAACACTATTTAATTACTTTAGAATTCTACATTCCATAAAATACAAAACGAAACAATCTAACAAAAAATGTCACACATTGATACTCCCTGCATTTTTACAGTCGTATTAATGAAAAATAAAGTTTACAAAACCCCTAAAATCAATAATGAAACAATTAAAAACAATAAATCGATCTTTAATAAAAATCCAAAATTAATACGAAGTCCTTTCTCAAAAAAAAAAAAAAAAAAAAAAAAAAAAAAAAAAAAATTAATACGGAGTCGTTGGATAAATCCAATTGGCCAAAAAAAATCCAATAACAATAAAATAATAAAAATGTCGGTGAAATAAATAAGAAGAAAAAAAAAAATTATCCTGAGCGATTGACGAGAGAGATAACATGAGTCAGGAGAAGATCATAAAGAATGGAATGAAGGAGCGCGTCAATCACGGCACACCTTCAATTTCATTTTCCAGATCTCTTCTCCTTCAATTTTCCTTTTTTCTCTCTTCCCTCTTACCTTCCACGCCATAGGAGAGAGAAATTCTTAAATTTAATTTTTCTTTTTTTTTAAAAAAAAATATTTAGAAAGGTGTGTAACGATAAAGAGGGGGTTATAAGTTATATGAATGACAACAACTCCGCCATCTTTGCTCTCCCTCACAATCGACTCTGCTCTTCTCCATCTCTCTTCTTTTTCTGATCTCTCTCATATTCCTGATCACATTCTCATCGATCTTTTTCGGGTTCGTCTTCTTTCTCTCTCCTTTGTTCTCTTTCTGATTTATTATTTGATTAGGTTTTTTTGGCTTTTGTTTGTGTTTATTAGGTTTGATTTTTTATTTGTTATGTTTTTCAACTTGTTTGATTTTGATTTGTTGTTTTTTTGGTCTGATTTTGTTTGTAAATTTGCTGGAATTGGATTTATGCTTTACTAGTTTATTTTGATTATTTGATGTTTTGGTTGAATGTGGTTGATGAAGACATAAATAAATTGATTTCTAAGCTATTAGGGTTAATGTAGCACAAATATGTGCTTTACTAGTACTATTTAGTTATTTGATATTTTGATTATTGCTTTTTTTGAAAGTAATTGTGTTTTCTTTTTGGCTCTTGAATGTGGTTGATGAGGGCATAAATTAATTGATTTCTTAACCATTGGGGGTAATTTTAGGTTAGTGTGGTGGTGTGTCACATTATGGCTATGCTGAAATGGTGATATACTGGTGTATTTGTCTTGGTGACTTGGATGGTTCTGGGGTGGCGGTGTATGTTTTGTTGGGTATACTCAGATAGATATACCTTAAGGGTATCCTCTTCCGATTCCCGATTATAGGTTGTTGTAGGGTGTTAGGCTTGTAGTTTTGGAGATAGGTTAGAACTTAGAAGTGGTGGTTTTTTTTTGAGTGACTATAGGTTTATCTGATTGTATGGGTTACCGTGAAATGGTTCTCCTTGATCTAGCTGTATAATTGATCACCATATTTGTTTGGCTTGGTAAATCTTCTATGATTTAGACGTGTGAATAGCTGTAAATTTAACAAGATTTTGTGTATGGCAGCGAACATTGAAAGCTGGAAAATTGAATGAGAGGATTCTTAATTTGTTCATAGCTTCCGGCGACGATAAACTTCTTTCCTTTATCAAGGAGCTCAACATCAGGCCAGTATATACTCCAGTTCTTCCCACCCGTAAGTCCTGGTCTTGGCTTCTTGTCGATTCATCGTATCATAGGTTGAATGTGTTTTATTCTGATAGATACCATTTTTTGCTTTCAGCGTGTGGCGGATACATCTTATGATTTTCTTTGATATCCATAGTTAATTGTTGGTGGACTATACTTGTGTTTTTGTAATACTCCATACTTTGTTCAAACACCCAAAAATGGCAACCCAGTTCAGCATTAAGGATGATGATGTAGATATTGTGATTGGTGCTCTACAGTCTGATCTCACGTCTTTTATGAATGCATGGAAACCCATATTCTCTCGGTTTCACTTGATTATTGTCAAAGACCCCGAATTGAAGGAAGATCTGAAGATTCCAGATGGATTTGATGTCAAGATATATACGAAAGCAGACATGGACAAGACTGCTGGAGCGTCACTGACTTCCCAGCTTTTCTCTGGCTATTCATGTCGCTACTTTGGCTATCTTGTCTCCAGTAAGAAATATGTTATCTCGATTGATGATGATTGCATCCCAGCCAAGGATGATAAAGGATTCCAAGTGGATGCTGTTGCCCAGCATCTTTTTAACCTTGCAGTCCCTGCCACCCCTCTCTTCTTCAATACACTTTATGACCCATTTTGCAAGGGAGCTGACTTTGTTCGTGGATACCCATTTAGTATGCGAGAAGGGGTGCCTTGTGCTCTCTCGTGTGGCCTCTGGCTCAATTTAGCAGACTTGGATGCTCCAACACAAGCCCTCAAGCCTGAGCAGAGGAACACTAGATATGTGGATGCTGTTCTTACTGTTCCTGCAAAGGCATTGATGCCGCTTAGTGGAATCAACATAGGGTTCAACCGTGAGTTGCTGGGTCCTGCTTTGTTCCCCGGTTTGAAGCTGACAAAGGAAGGAAAGTTAAGATGGGAAACCATGGAAGATGTATTCTCTGGTATGTGTGTTAAGGTTGTGTGTGACCACTTGAAGTTTGGGGTGAAAACTGGTCTGCCTTATGTCTGGAGGGAGGAAAGGGGTGATGCAGTTCAGAGCTTAAAGAAAGATTGGGAGGGTATGAAGCTGATGGAGGATGCAGTTCCTTTCTTTGAGTCTATCAAATTGCCTGCTGAAGCAGTTAAAGCTGAGGATTGTTTACTGGAGATAGCAAAACTGGTCAAGGAAAGGTTTGCCGCTGAAAAGAATTCTGTATTTATTCAAGCTGCTGATGCCATGACTGAGTGGGTTAATCTATGGAAGAAGGTTGTACCAGCCTCCAATTAGATATTTGGGAGGGCAGACGTAGAATTCACTGTTAATTAAGTCATATACAGTAGTAAATGGGAACCTGAATTGGCGATGTTTTACTTGCTAAGGTGGCTGTGCTTGTTCACTTACAGCCTTTTTTTCAAAATCGTGTTGATTACAGATATTTCCGTACTATGTTAATGGTTGATTAGGGATATTGCCCGTAGTTGGAATATAACTTCTGTGACTTATTTACATGATTACTTTAATCATCTATCTATTTCCTTGGCTTTAAAACCTACAAAAAATTTCTTCTTGTTGCCCAACCCAATTTCTGTCCTGGGTGTGAGATCTGCATTTTACATCTGTTTTTAAAATTTAGACTGATCTTGTGTCTTAGAGAAGAAAGTTTGAATTTTGCTGCATTTGTGATTATTGCTTTTGTAGTTCTTGATGTGCAATAATTATACCGCTGATAGTTGAGTGGTATTATCACTCTTTCACTCTCAAATGCTCAAGATCTAGGATTGAACACTTTTTAAATTAGTGCTCCATTTTGAGAATCAACATCAAAATTAGCCTCTTTAAATTGATGTTGATCATTCGCTTCTTTGATTAACAGCAAAGTTTTGTATAGTTTGTTGCCTCAAGCTCTAGGGGCAAGTTTCCTTAGCTTCTTCCTCACCCATGCGGATGCATTTTTGGAATCTGATTGAGGAAATATAATAGCAACGAATTCAGCTTAGATTCGTACTCAATATTACATACAAAATACATGCTAAAAGACATTAACTTCGCATGTTTGTCACTTACCTATAAGGCTATAAGTTACTCCGTATTCAATTTGAGACAATTTTTCTTATGCACGCAAGGAAAAATGGACCTTTATAAAGAAGAACCCTTTTTTTAGAAATACGTGAACAATTAATAATTACATTTTTTTAAGGAGTAAAATCCCTTTAAATAGACAAAGGTAACATTTGGGGGGACAGAATATTACTCATAGTTTAATTGCTTTTGCTGAATAATTTTAAAAAGCACTAGTCTTTAATACTGAAAAACGCAGATTTAAAAGTTTAATTATGTCCAAGTTTTTTGTCCCACAAATTTGGATGAGTGCCACGAACTTGATAACAAATCAATCGCTGCTAAATTTTAAAAATATTTAACCCACAAAATCTACCTTAGATGTGTAGCATTTTCTTAACCCTAGTAATGTTGAATTAAATATAAATGCTTTTTTTTTTTACATTTGCTTATAGAAAGGAAACCTAATTACTACTAAATGACATTAAAATATTTGTAGCTCTTGTTGCAAGGTCGAAATCTCTATTTATCTTTGTATGTGGATACTGCACCATTTAACGTTTTTGCTAAGATAAGATTCCTAATGTGTGAGCATCAACGAAGCACGGACACTCGTAAGTTCAGGCGTGTCCGAGTCGACACGCGTGTCGGACACGGACACGCGTGGGACACGGGGCAAAACGTCTCGGACACTCCAAAAATCGTGTCCGGTTTATTTTTGACGTTTTTGATTTTTGGACACGGGCCGTGTCACCCTTAGACACGGGCCGTTTTGGTATGACACGGGAAATAACCTAAAGTCTTGCTCTCTGCTTTGCCTCTCTGCCTCCCTGCCTATTTCCACTTCTCAATTTCTCATCTTCCTCTCTGCCTCACACGAAATCAGTCATCACCATTGTCATCACTCAGTCACTGTCGTCGTTGCTCCACCCACCACCCACCACTCCACCGTTCGCATCAACACAGTCAGCTGTCGTCGTTGCTCCACGCTTGGTGTTACTCAGTCACTGTCGTCGCTGCCTCTGCCTCATTCAATTGCCGCTGTTCGTCCTCAGCCACCACCCACCACTCCACCGTTCTCATTGTCGTTGCTGACTTGTTGTCCCAGACTCCCAGGTATGGTTCTCAACGTTTTTTTTTTAACAATTAATTTTCTGCATTTCAGTTTCATGAATCATGTAATTAGAAATTTAGAAGTTGAAGCTGAAGGGTAATTGGATGTCTCGGACGAAATTTGTGGGTATCAAAGAAATTTTGGTTGAAATTGAAGAAATTTTGTAAGGGATTTTATAGTATAATAATAATAATTGAGTTTTTGGAATCTGGATTTGGTGAGCATGTGCACAAGAATACCTCATACACTTCTTTCTAAATTGTGAAAAGTTAGATTTTTTAATTTAATTAATTTTATTTAAATGTATCTTCTTTGAGATCAGTGGAATATTGCTTCTGGATTATTTTTTTCATTTGTGTTTATTAAATGTAGCATGTGGATCCTGGGGTTTTGAAGATGCAATGTTCACTGTGTCTTGATTCCTATTGTTCTGGGATTTGTGTAATTATGTTTGCTTTTATACTTGGAGCTTTGATAGCATTTATCTCCTTCATATTTGGTTGATTAAAGAGTGTATTACCAACGTGAATGACGAGGCTTTATAATTGTGTTATTAAGCTTCTTTGATCTGGTTTTATTATATAAGAAAACTTTGATGCTTTGAGAGAAGTTTCTAATTTTAGTTTTGATTAGTGGTTCTATAAGTAGAAAATTCAGTTTCTGTGGTTCTTGTTGTTGCTAATTTTTCTGTGATGTGAATAATGTGTTTTGTTGGACTTGTTATGGTTAATCATGACTATCTTCATTGATATAAACTAGTGTATTTGGTTTGATGGTTTCTTGATATGTATGAGACTATGTCCGTACACTTAGTTCATTTACTTGTTTAATTAAAATTGTGTGTTTTGAGGCTAATTATTTAGTGTTTTATTGAATTAGTTGTCAAATTCTCGTTTTTTTAATATATTATATGACTTGTTATACGCCGTACCCGTGTCCCCTATTTCAGGATTGCCGTTTTCCCGTGTCCGTGTCATGTCCGTGTCCGAGTCCGAGTCCGTTTCCGTGCTTCCTAGGTGAGCATATGTGCTATTCTGAGAATCGGTAAGTCTAGTTATTAAATCCATAGATTTATTTCATAGTCGATCCACTAAATACCTTGTAGACAAGTTAATGCCTCAGCTCAATCTACATGACGTGATGACGTTGACTACTTTATGTAAATAAATTTTTTGATTATATATAACCCGTTAAATTATCTAGTTTTACACTCTTATCAATTAGATGCTTTCCATCAATTTTAAGTGTACACAAAATGTTTCACAATTGAATCTAGATGACTTTTATTATTTCAATTAGAAGGAAAAAGTATTATCAAATTTGGATAGTAAAAATAATTGGATGGAGAAGTTCATTTAGCCAAATAAAAAAGAAGAATTGATGTGTACCAAAATATTTTGTTGCCACCCTAAAAAAAAACATATTTTTTTTCATAAATTTCTCAGCCAAGACTTTCCCGTCAAATCCTCCCAACTATAGCACTCCTAAACAATTTCTATGCCTACCAATTGTCATGCATGGTTATGTTTCTTCCCCTCTTATTTCTATAAAATATCAAACACATTAACAAGAAGTTGTCTTCCAAATTTATCAACAAGTTAAAATTTAAGCAAGTTTGAATTCAAAAAAAATTCAAAAATCAACACAAATATGGCTAGCCAATCTTTCTCTTTTGTTGCTAGAGGCACATCTAATTTTAAAGTTTTTCAGACTATTACTCGAAAATATATTCACTCTGTAAGTCATTTGTAGATTTGTGAGGTTATTATGTTTGTTCCCTACATTCGCACTAAAATACTGTAACACTTCATAATCCGTAACATATAACTTTTCAATTTGACAAGTTATTAGATTAAATGTGATATCATAATTAATTAAGAATTTTCTAACCACATGCAACCTTTAATTCTTTTGACTGAGATATGTATTTGGCTTTGATCATTTGAAGGGATCAGGCTCGACCACTCAAGATGCAGCAAGCGCAGCCAAACGAGGTCTCAATGAGGCTATGAGGACCGGCGAAAACCTGAAAAATCAGGCCGCCTCCACCACAGAAAACGTATGTATTACCAAGTAAATCGCATCATGCATGCATATATGTTAGTGATGGATATTACATACACCAAATCTAAGAAGATTTTTTTTGTGCTAGTATAATCAATTTGACAAGGTACATTGTGATGTAAACTTAGATTGCTGATCGTACAAAGGACACCACACACGGCATGGCAAATAAAGCAAAGCAAGCAGCGGAAGGAGCTTGGGAATCAGCTAAGGAAACAGCCCAAAAGTCTAAAGAAAATGTGTTTAGCAAGACTGATGAAGCCAAGGAAACCGTCAAAGAGACCGCCAAACGTAGCATGAACACCAAGAACAACTCTTAAAGGACTAATAATTTAGGGGATGACAAATTCACAATATATAGTTTATGTCATAATATTGAATTAATTGATGTTGAATCCCTGTACTAGCTAGGTTTTTATCAAATTGATCATATATAACTTGAATAATTTGTTTTGTTTAATTTCCTTAGGTTATCTTCTATGGCTAGCAAAGCTAACTAGCTAGTACATAGTATATGAGGTTAAAACTCTCATTAATTAATTATGATAGTCTTAAGCAATTAGCCTGATGTTAAAGACTTAAGTGTTGTCAGAAGTTTAATGTATGATTAATTTTTGACACTATAAAAGTTATATTGAAGTAGTAATGTATGAATAAAATAATCAACCTTATATTATCTTCTATATACATTCGGGTACACATACAAGTAAATCTAATGGTGGCTTTTTGCTCAATTGATATAATTTTCTTCTCACTTTAATATTTTTGAATGAGCAAAAAAATATTAAATGAGCAGAAATACTCATGAGTACGTGCATTTTGCATCCAAATGTATATAAATCTTTATATGAAACAATAGTAAAACTTCTATACTCTATCATTTATTTCCCTTTTTTTTTATTAATACTACATTATATTTAGACCTTTTATATGATGGTATGATGGTTTAATACCGATCCTTCATTTTTAATTTTAATTTATCATTTGAGATACTATTTTCCTAAATGATACTCCGTAATATATTTAAACATTATTGTATTGTCTATATATATTTTCAAATTAAAAAAGTATACTCCATAATGTCCTGATCTAATTCGAAATGACCAAATTTAAGTTCAATTACAAAATCAGAAGAGATCCAAGGCTCACCTGACTTGAGAAGTCAATAACCACCTAATCCAAAATGAATATGACTTGATAATTGTCACATTTAATGACCCAAAATCTTGAACCCGTTTTAGCCACCAAAGAACTATTGAATCAGCATGATGAAAATTGGATTATTCCAATTAATTTGACCTAGTCCTAATTTAAATGTATAATAAACTCTAACTCAGAGAAAAAAAAAAGAAAGAAAGAAAAAAAAAAAAATCGGCTTCCCACGATACAAATAACCCCGATCTATATCTTTATAATTGATCAATTCTTTAAAATGAGCAATTAGGGAATTAGCTTAATAAGGTTAGTGATACTATACCACCGACATTTTAATAATTTGGATATACTTCGTTCGTACATGTTATTTATCCCATTTCTTATATATATATATATATATATATATATATATATATATATATATATATATATATATATATATATATATATATATATATATATATATATATATATATATATATATATATATATATATATATATATATATATATATATATATATATATAAAACAATCGTTAACAGTTAACAATCAAATACTTCAAAAGAACAAAACATACGTACCCTAAACTCACATTTTTACTACAAACAACATAATCGATCTTTCCTACAGATTGATTAGATAGCAAATTCATCACTTCATTTTATTTTCTTGACAAGAAATTCATCATTTCTTAGTTAGTTATTGTTTGAAATTCATCATTTCTTAGTTAGTTAGAGTTTGTTAAAGTCTACTACCATGAAGAAACAAAAAGGCGCAAGTAGTTCACTACAACTTCATCATACTACTACTACTTCTTCTTCTTCTTCTTCTAAGAATGAAGATGATGAAGTAGTTATTGATCATCCTGAGCTTCGTCATCTCCCAATCAAGAAACGGCGTAAAAGCTATCTCCAACAACAACAACAAGCTGTGCAGGAAGATGAAAAGAAAGAAAATCAAGAAGAAGCCGATGACAACGAACCCAAAATTGGGCAATGGGGAACCGTAAAAAGGCGTAGTAACCAGACACTGACCATACGAGAACCGGCTCCGGATCCACCAATGGAGAGAAATGTGCGCCAACGCCAACGTGGTAGAAAACCCAAAAATCGAGTAGCTAAGAGATATATATACGACTAATTCAATTCATTCGTAAAATCGTATGTATGCAGTGTGATACATACCAAGATTCTCACGGATATGATGAGTATAAATCGATTGTAATTTTTGTAAATGCTGTTTTCGTTTAGTTCAAATCGATCTCGATCTTGCTAGTATTTACGTGATGTACAAGTATATTGTAGATTAGCATGTAGTGCGGTATGTAGTGGTGTATAGTATAGTCCGTTCTTGCATTGTTGTTTTAATGCGAGTTAATAGTGTGTAATTTTGTAAGTAGTAATAGTGTGTCGTTTCATTTGGAGATTGACTTATATTGTTGTTATATAATCAATTAAAATTTCGTTTTCTTTAATTTTCATTTCATGTGCATATTGATGTACATGTTTGAAATGATCTCGGTATATTTGTGTTATTATGAGCTAATGGAACTTTTTCTGTTTTAAGTTGTACTGCATTATATTCAACTTCTTTATTTATGACAGTTTGATTAGCAGTAGTGATTAGTCTTTCGGATCCATACCCACTAGGCCACTATCCGTATCCGGCCTAAACCCGACCGGGCTGAAAAAATGACCCTTAGCTTCCAAGACATTATAAGTGGCAAACGCCAAACCAGGCCACGGTCCAAACAGCCGCCCAAACCGCCCTTATAGAAGATGACCCGATAACAGTTGGGGTGGTTCGTAGGTCGGAGATCATAGGGGTCGGACTAGGGAGAGCTCAAGGGCTGTATGGGATTGAATCTCAGGTCGAGTTGCTACTCTGTAGAATTCCATACATTTTGTTATCAAGAGTTTAATGAAGGATGGAGCCATGCATAAATGTATTTATTAGAGTAATTTCGTTTTGTAATGGTTTGATTTTGCTGATCAGTTATCAGTTTTATGTTTTTAACCTGTTATCAATTGGAACGATGTACGTATGACAACGTAGTATGTGTACTGTAATGTAGACGTGTAGCTTTTCACTTCTCACAAATTGTTAGTGTAATTTGTTCATTTTAAGTTCGCTTAACATTTTGAATTAGTTGATTCAACTAGAAGTAGTACAAGTAATATAATCAAGTAATTTTACGTATAATAGCTTGATTTAACCCAAAATGAATTACCACTTTAAACCCAAACTTGAAATTATGAAGACCCAAGGTTTCAACTATTTCAATAGTTTCTATCCTAGCTTAATTAGGCCACCTGTATTATTTGAGACTTTATAAAATATTTTCTAAGTATTTCTATTCTATCCATCTAAATTTGATTCACTGCATGTACAAGAATAGTAAGAAAAAAGATAGAATTCCATTGTTATATTCAATCATGTGTATCTTATTGTAATCATGATTCTCCATAAATACAAAAATTATTGATTTAGCTAGCAATAAATAATAAATTATTAAGGTTGGTATCGATCTTAATTTTACCACGTATTTAAAGTACGTGATTTCCAATAATACATTCTCTCGTATTCCTGCTTCATGGAGAGGCTTTTCTTTGAGACAGTTTGAGAAGATTCAAAGGAGTAGTCTATATAAAAAATGTTTGGCTTTCTTAGGAGCCATGAGAATTAAATTCGAAGGAAAAGTTTCTAGCGAGTTTGAACTTAGATGGGGCAAGAAAGGCCAAAGCTAAGGAAGCTCTAGGTTTGTCATCAAGGCCAGGGTGGTGCAATGATATTAGATCATTTGGGCATTTTTGTCTTGGCAATTCGCCCTTCTCTACAAATAATAGTTGTAAGTTACACTACTTTTACAATACAAGTAGCTACTCTTGTTAAAGGTCTAAAATTAGAATGAGAGTTACGAATTGGTAATAATTAAGCTTATATAATGATTTAACACTATAAATTAACATGCATGTGCTCTAATATCTCTTGAGTGTATTTCAAGTTTTCCATAATAGTGATGAGTTTAATTTGTTCATTTGACTAAAAATTTATTATCACTTATAGAGTAGTAATTAGTGATCGAGGTGTATTTGAAAGGGAAGGTGGTTCACATTTTACAAGAAAGGAATTACGTGTTCTACTAATCTACGCAAAACCAAGAACTTGGAATACTCTCTTTAGCTAGGATTGTGATTGTGCCAGCTTTATTCCACGTTAGGCACTTTAAACTGATGTTAATTTCTTTATTTTTCCTACTCCATATGATTTGGATGTTTTTGAAAAAAAATTTCCTACTCTGTATGATTTGGATGTTTTTGGAAATTGATTTTGGCACACCCTCATGTGGAAGAGCATAAAAAAAATTTTGCTCTCACATAAGGTGTGCCAAAATCAACTTATGGTGTGTCAAAATCATTTCCCATGGTTTTTCTTATTAAAAAGATGATTTGGTTGTGTAAAAAAAAAAAAAAAAAAAAAAATTATTTGGAAGGATAAAATAAGTCAACGGGTGGATCCATAATAAGAAAATCTTGATCATATTGTAGGATATATTCCAAATATAGAAACAAAATAACCATATGATTATTACTTTAATTAATTAATATACTTCGTATATTCAAACAAATGGACCACTTACAGTTACGATATTGGCGCTGTTTACTTCTGTCTCTCTCCTCTATTTATATCACCTTATCGCAAAATTTGATCCCAAAATTCATCGTAACCCTAGTTCCATATTCAGTACAGGTAATGTCATTGTGAATTTCTTCGTTTCGATTCAATTTTTCTTGCTTAAAGTGTTGTTTGATTGTAATATTTCTGATGAATTATTCAATTTTGTGCTTCAATTTTAACCCCTTAATTTATATATTGATTAATTCATGATGTTGTCTCTTGTTAGGGTTTCTTACTATCGTGTTCTAATTTAGAAATATAATCGAAAAGTTGTTTGGAATTTTGCATTTATTGTAGATGAATTGATGAGTGTCAACGGAATTTTTTGAATTTCCCATGTTTTGTTTTGAATTTGTGAAATAATTGTAGGGTTAAATAGAAATTGGTTGACCATTTGCTGATGAATATACTCATTTCTGATTTTTTGTTAAAATTTTAGTAGTTTTAAGATTAGCTTCCATCTCGTTGTGATTCTTTTGAATTACCTATAGATCACCTCTGTTACTGACGTCAATTCTGGTCTATAATTGATTTGACTGAATTGAATAGCTTGCGATTTCAATGATCGAATTGCGTTTACCTACAAAAGTTTTAACACTCAATTTAACAAACCTAGAATTACCTTTTTAAAAATGCCTTTTTGCAGGCTAAGGTCAAGGGTCTCTTTGGTTGCAAAGATGGCGTTTACCATGAAACAGATGGCTCTCATTACTTCCTTTTTTGGTGCCTTCTCCTTCATATGCGGTGTTATTGCTGAAAACAAGAAGGTGTGTCGATTTTTTACGGAGTATTACTCATCACTGACATTGCAGTTAGCTGATTTTATTTTGTTTTGATTTTGAATCACGCGCTATTAACCCTTCGTGTTTTGTGGATTAACTTTACAATTGAGTACTTTTAAAATTTAGCAAGAGTCTATATTGTTTTTGCTTTTTGTGCAGCCTGCAACAGGAACACCAATTCCTGGGAAGGGTGTGGTTATCTGCAAGTATCCCTCTGATCCAACAGTTGTTCTTGGTTATATATCGTTTGCTGCACTGATAGTATCTACTGTTATTGGGCACATGTCGATATTTTACCCGTATAATAAGAGGGCTATTCCATCTGGCGCCCTCTTCCGTAGCAAAACCATGTTCGTCTTTTTCAACATTGCTTGGTAGGTTTTCCTCTCTTGCTTTGTTTCATCATTACCACTACTTTTATTTTTGTGCATACGAGGATCATGGTTTTTGGAGTTTTGGTAATTTTACTGTACAGAATATAGTATATTTCTTGACTTGATATCAATATATAATGCCTTTTCCTAATTTATGAATTGATTGCCGTTTGAGTTCATAAGCAAGCATGTTTCTGTTGAATGTAATGTTAGTTTATTATTGAATTTCTCTTCTGATTTATTGAGCAGGACTATTTATTATAGGTAGCCATTTTTGTCTTATTATTTAGATGAATAGATTTTCTTCATGAAGGAGAAAAATAGTTTGCCATTTCATGGGCCTTAACTAGAGGTCTTTCTACGTATCCAGAAGACACAACAGCTACATCAATTGGTTTTACACATGTAATCTATCACAATCAAACTAATCTGACATGGACAAATTCAGAAGTTAAGAGCTATCAGTCAGGAATGCAGCTCAACCAAGACGCTTATTTTCTCTACTGGTAACTTCCATGAGAGCCTTTGCCTCTGCGTGCAGAGGTGAGGAGAGCAAAAATCAGTTGCCTTGCCTTACTCTACCTTTTAGCAGTTTCATCTCACTAACCTTCCTATACAAGCTCTTGGCAAGCGCCCTTTTCCATTTTCTTTGACTCTTGATAATATTAAATAATTATCCACCTGTCAAGTGCCCCAATTGAGGATAAAGCTAACTCATCATGTTTTGGCCTCACAAGTCTGTCTTCTGGCTCATTACATCAATTCTTGCCCTAATTAAATGGTTCTCAAGTACTCCTATGGATCCTATCTCTTCTCTTTTCATGCCATAATCTCATCTGATCTGTGAAGGTCTGAATCTTATATATTTATTGCTAAGTATACCGTCATTCCTCACAATCTATGTAAACTGCAGGATTATAGCTATTGTGAGGTTTTTCTTTAATCTCATCCCCCCTGTTTGAGCTAATTTATACTTTATCTGTCTGGAATTTGCTGTATATAGTTCTTGTTATTAGTCAGTAAGAACCCACCTTAGGATTCTTGAACAAGAGGTTCATGTCATCTTTTTAACTATAATTGGGATACAATTTCTGATGATTTCACATTTACACATTGTTTGGTGAGTATATTTGAGGAGGGAAAGGGAGGGGAGGAAAAATTGCAGAAGAGATAGGAAGGTGAAGGGAGGGAAAGAGTAAGCTTCCCCTACTTCTACTCCCTTTACTTTCTCGTAGTCTTATCTTAATATGGGAAAATGTATCTTTCATTTTTTTCATCCAAACATAGTTTTAGCTTTACATAATTGTGCTTAGTGGAGTTTCAGTTGTGTGTAGTCGTGTGTAGAATATACGACTATTGTTTATATTTCAACCTGCTGATAGCGAGTACTATTTTCATTGCCGTTTTAGAAATTTTTTTTAGGCTAACATTTTTAACAGTGATCATGTGTTTTTAATGCCTACAATAGTCTGTCATCTGAACAGCAAATGTTGATTCATGGCAGTTATAGAGATAATATGGATTGGTTTAAAAAAAATTTCTTTCTATTTTTATTTTGGCTTTTAAATAGGGTAACTGCTGGGTTAGCTGCCGCATTGCTCCTGTGGCCAACAATTACTGAGCAATTCCATTTAAGCCGTACTGTACATCACAACCCCGACTATGCCTGTCCTACTGCTAAGACCGGGGTCCTTGGTGGTGGTGCCTTTGTATCCCTTGACTCATGCCTCTTTTGGTTGATATGCCTCATGCTGGCTAACAATGCTCGAAGTGATTACTTTGAGGAGGTTGAAGATTCTCAAAAGGGGGAGAGCGCCCAAGTTATTAATCTTGACATCAACCCTATTGGTCCAGAGGCCTTGAAGCATACCAACGTCGCATAGTTGTGTATTTTATGTGAATGACACTCTTTGGTTACAATCCTTTAAGAAGAACTTGATTTGGCAAAATCATGAAATTAATAATTGTTGCTAGATTGTGAACACATCATTGGTTTTTCTTGTATATAGGTTTACGCGACTTTGTATCGCTCTTTCAGAAGAATAGAAAATTCTATTGGTGTGAAAAAGTTTCTTGTCTATTTATTTCATTGCATATCTTGACAAATCTGGTCAAAACAGAATCCTTTCTGCTTCTATACCAAAAAGTTTTATGTTATACCATCTAAGATATGTCCAAAATCGATATCTGTTGGATTCAGTTAACAACCAATCAGATGGACCCAAAAAAATAAAAATCATGAAAAATATTTGTTTTTATTTGTCTTCACTTTATTGCAATGAAATCCAAATTGGATACAGGAGTAATGCCAAGATACTTGCAAAGAAATCAGAACTTCCTCTTGCCTATATATTGCAGACATTGCAGAGAACTTCCTTGTCTAAATTGCCTATATTTTCCGTAAATTATAGTACTAATCTCTTTTATTATCATGGTTAAAAAAATAGAACAGTTGAAGCTCATCGAGAATGAGCCTAGCAGGCAAATATGTTTTGCAAAACGACGAAATGGACTTATGAAGAAAGCCTTAGAATTACATATGGTGTGTGATGTTGATTCTATTGTTATAGCCTTCTCACCTGCTGGTCGCCTCAGCTTCTTTTGTGGTGGCAACAGAAGGTATTCTTTGCCTGCTTACAATTAATTTCCTTCTTGTTGTGTTTTTTTTTTCTTTTTTTTTTTTCTTTTTTGACAGGAAAATTACGTAGTATATAAAATCCCTCTAATAGATTTCCCATTTGTTGTTTTTTTAACGGTCTCTAAGAATCTAATATGCACTACATCTAACCGTTTCCATTTTTATATGCGTACGCAGCATCAATAGATACGACAAAAGTAAATAGATAATTTGAGTTTTTTTTATTTTAGAATTATTGATATAATTTGAGGTTTTTATTTTTTAATTCGCATTGAAATTTATTGACTAAGCATTAAGACAGGATTCAATATTGACATGAAATTTTTTTTTGGGCAAAACTAGCAAAGTTTGACTTTAGAAAAAGAAAATTAGTATTTTGCTACTGTTTAAAATATATACGAAGGACTTCATATAATAAAGTATATACATATTTATATATAGCCTCCTTATGGATTCAGGGTTGAAGACATTATAAGGCACTTTGCAGCATTGCCAGAAGATATCCGAGGCTTGTAAGGGTTCCTTATCATTTTTTTTTTGGGTACCAAAAAAAAAAAAAAAAAAAAGAAAAAAGTAGCAAGTATTTATACTTGGTCTAATTTTTTGTGTTGCAAAAATTAACCATGTCTTATTTTGATACTTGCAGCCAGATACCAGATCCAGAGGTAATGCAGACAGTGGTTTTTTATTTTATTTTATTTTTTATTAAAGGAAAGGAACAGTGAGTTAAGCAGCTGCTATACAGACATATATGTACAATTATTATATTTTTTTAAAAAAAACATGTACAAGCATTACTGAAGTATACTGATCTTTTTTTTTTTTTTTGTATTGCAGTTGTGGGTTTTACTTGAAACACTGGACAAGCTTAAAGAACAAACAAAGGAGCACATCCAAAATGACAGGTATACAAATTTTATAGCTTCATTAATATTCTTTTTCTTCATCAATATATTACGCAAATAATTACAAGAAACAAGTTCACAAAATAATCCAAGATACGTAAGGAACTCTATGGTTTACCTACATTAATCTTCTCCGTGTGGTGTGTGTGTGTATGTATCTCTTCTTCTGTGCATTATAATTTGATATATGTGGTTTTAATTTTGTGCTCTTATGACCTTTTACAATGCAAAAACATAAATAAAATTTGATTTAATCTAGATGGAATGTTTGTTTCTCTATTTCATGTGTGTTTTGTTAGATCATAAGAGAAGAAAAATGGTAATTGTTAGATGCCATGCATTGGCTATTGTATACATAATGTTTTATTTTAACATTTTGTTACTTCCTCTGTACTTTTATTATTGCACCATAAGGGTTGGGCACAAGTTTTTTGGAAGTGGAAAAAAGGATTAGAGAGAAGGGTAAAAATGCAAAATTGCCCATGTGATTGTATACATAAACTTAAAAAATGAAGTGTTGAAAAGTAAGGGTATATTAAGTATTTGCAGTGTGAACATAGATATTTCTTTTCCTAGTATGGATTTGGTGCAATATTTGTGAATTTCTTTAAAAAGCAAGTGGTGCAATATTATTAAAAAAACAGAGGAAGTAGCATTTTTTTTCATTATTATTTACATTTTTTGGCATAAAAAGAGCCATAAATTACATTGATATAGACGGAATTTCATTTCAATTTTGTTAGCTGGCATTTTCCATGTATTGAAAAGTAAATGCCAAATATGAGTAATTAATTATTGGAGGTAAGGATGTTTAAATGGAAGTATATCAAGGGCAATGATATATTGCCATTAATAATACTTAAGCTTAATAGCTTATCCTATCCAATGAAGATGCGTGCATATGAGTGACACACATATTGTATTATTTGTATGCACCCCCTTTCGTACATTATTGTGAAACGAATATACTCTACAATAATTTTCATGTGTGATATCAAAATTATCAATATTAATTATGGACATTTAACCTATGATATGGTAAATTCAATAATTGACCAAATCATCAATTATAAATAATTATGATGCCATGCATGCATTTTTACACTAGGATAACCAGGTATGTATTTGCAGCATGATAAGCAAATGTTTAAATATTTTTCCAGCCATTTTAACAAAATAATTTTTTCTCTATGTTTTTTCATCTCTGATCTATAAGGCTAATGAATTTGTGTTTGTTGCGTTTTTAATTGGCTTTCTGCTGCTGCATCTGAAAAATCCAGTACCATTTCGGTAAGACTTAACACTCAATACAGTGACATTTTTATCTTTCTATAGATTGTTACTTTGTATGGAGGTATTATATACAAGTATTAATGATACACATACATGCTAATTTGTAGGCTATCCAGAGAGAACTTTCTCAGGTGGAAAAAGAGATTCAGGGTGCTTTAATTGAGACGAGGTTACTCTTTCAACTGTTTAATTTGAGCTATATATTTCAATTTAATGTTAATTCTCATTCCATTTATGCTATATATCTATAATCATGTTAGGCTTAAGCAAGCTAAAATAAGGACTAAAATTTAGTTTTTGGCTTATAGGAGATACGAACCCTTGCATGCAGTGATAATGACAATTGAAGAAGCAAACCTTTCTGAAGAACTCCTTGAGGAGACACTTGCCCGCGTCCAAGAAAGAAAGGTTTAAAGAATATATTTCCTTCATTTTTTAGCTATATACATGTGATTTAGTACTAACGACCTTGGTGATCAAACCTGTGTTGTGGTCAAGCAGCAAGAGCTAACAGCTAAGGATAATGAAGATGCATCTCAAGAAATGCCTGATGCCATGGTATAAATATGTTTACTAAATCTGATTTCATCACCCAAACTATAAGTTCTTAAGGTTCATATGGATTTATTTTGACTATGTTGTATTCTATCCTGTATATTTGCATACATTTATAAGAATGGAGCAGAAACTTCTTCACCAAAACCTGTGGATGTAGTTCAGCAAGCCGAGCCTGAGCACCAAGTGAATGAGAACTCTAATGAGAACCAACACCAATCACCTACTGCAGAAGGGTGTGTTTTTCCCTGCTTTGCCATAGTATGATTTATGAACTATTGTATCTTCTTCTTGCTTAAATTAGTGTACTTCATATCTTGGTTAAAAGTAGGATTTGTTGATGATCTTCTTGCTTAACAAATCAACTCTATTGCTATATATGATCTAATAAGGTTCATAACGTTCATGTATGGCAGCATTCAAGATGCATTGATGAGGCAGAGCAGTCCATCGAAACATCTACCGCCAGAAGTGGCTAGTCCTAATCTACTGCCAGAAGTGGCTAGTCCTGATCTACTGCCAGTAGTGGCTATTCCTAATCCTCAGCATGCTGGAACATCGTTTACCAGCCTTTTAAATGCCGCAGATGTTGCAGAAGAAACCGCATCTGCTTTTAGGGTACTTAAAGCTTTATTTTTGTAACATATTAATCCATGTAATAATTTACGTACACATAGAACTCTTACACATTAACTGATCAGCATATTTTAATAGGGAGTGGTCTTCTCCCAACCGCCAGATCAGAACCACAACTCCTCACCCTTGCTACAAAATCAGTTCAATTTATTCCAAGATGGTCTCCTTCACACTTATTCCTATTCGTAAGACGTTTTCTTGACCTTGCAATATATATATATATATATATATATATATATATATATATATATATATATATATATATATATATATAATTAAGTTATGCGCTTAACTACATATATACGGCTATACCCATGTTGGTCATGTACTACTTTATTGCACCCCTCCATTTTCTGCAAAAGAACCATCTGCAGATTGGACTTTACAAATTCGAAATGCTAAATAGAAAGACCCTTAATTAATTCCTTTTTGTAATCATGGTTTCATCAGTCAATTTGAGATAATTTTATTTTGTTTGTGCATGCCTATTGTTGCAGGAATGTTAATACAACAGGAGTCAATCAATCTTCAGAATGCAATGAGATCAGCACAGTTGGAACTGCAAATGGTAATAATTACCCATTTTCAAGCTTGATTTCCCCAAATTTACAGCTACAGCCTTCCCCTGCAAGCTTCAAAGTGCCTGATTACCGAATGCAGCTTCCTATGCCGGCCCCTCATTACTACCAAATATCTGTAAATACTTTCTGACTTTAGTACATCGATCTAATTATGTTTAGAAATTTAAACATCTTGCTTGATTGTCTTACAAATCAATATGATCATGGGTATACAGCAGCCAAGGCCATTAGGAGACAGCAGCAACATGTCGCCTTTCAGTACTCCGCAGTGGTCTAATCAAAGAACTCTGCAGCATGATCCAACTCTCTTTGTGCGAAATCCACAGTGGTCTAATCAGATTATTCTGCAGCAAAATCCAACCGCCGTTGGACAGAATGCACTGTACTTAATACAATCTACAATCCATAATTACTACTCCGTATAGGGTTAATTATGATTAGAAAAGTATTTATTGAGCCTAATATGATCTGATTTTATATTACTTTCACATTATTTGTACAGTCAACGAACCAGCTATCAGGGCTTGTTTAGTTCATTTGATAGGATGGATAGCATGTATCCAGACTCAAGATCACCAGCCTTCATCCCAAGACCACCACATCTGCAAATGAATCGCCAGGTATACATATCATTATCCATGGTCTTTAACTAATCTGTTTGACATTAGCATTTATATATATATAGCATGATACAAGTGGACTGTTAATGCTGGTTCTAATAAAATTTAAAATTACCTTTTGTTTTTCCGTGATGTGATCAGTCGATGGGAGGTCTAAACAATGGCCCAAATCTTTCTCTGGACTTACAAGGGCTATTTGCCAACAATTCTCCGGTTAGTTCTACATGCTTAATGATATCAATGTTTGTGCAGTTCTTGCTTAAAACAATTAAACTAAACTAGGCTGAAAATCAAAATTCAGCAAGCATATCTTGAGGTGGAAGGATCAACTTCTTCTGCTTATAAAGTTAGTTTATAATTGGTCCTAAATGAACTGTTAAGTGTTCATACCTATATAAGAGTGTATAAGTAGGTACTCGCTTAGTTGGTAACATGTTAGTTATGATTATCTGCAGAGGAAAGCACCTTGGGAAGATGACTTTGATCTGAGGCGGGCAAGTTACCAGAATGGGAATACAGCACCAAACAATACTGATTCTCCAGCTTCTATTCTTATTCCCGATCCTAGGTTTGCCACTTATACTCATAGCTTACACAAACAAAGCTGAAACTTGCTGAAAAAATATTTATGAAAATAAACATTATGTATGTATTTTCTCGTCTTCAGGCCTATAGGAAATGCACTCTATAGTCCTGAATATGCACATATGGGCTTGGCCATTGACCCCCATATCCGGAATCTTCAAGAAGTAATAAGATATGGTAAACATCTCAACTTCTCCTAATGTACAGTTCATCTGTTTACTCCGTCTCATAATAAATGGCCATAATAATTATCGGTTATATTTTGCAAATACATTACTTAATATTATTTACATCGATCTCCACTTTCTTGATGTAATGTCTTTGTAGAATTTTTAGATTAAAGGCATCATTTAAGAGTATTTTGTAAAGTTATATATTGAAGTTACTAATTAAAAAGAGTGGCAGTTACTTGGTGACAATCTGTGTTCGTGTCTATTACTTAGGAGCGGAAAGAGTAAAAATAATCTCCTCTCACAAACGTATTAATAAACTTGTTTGTTTTGACATTGACAGATAATGGCAGAGGACATCAAGGAAACCAGCAAGGAAACGAATGATGATTGATGCTCCAAGAATGGTTTAAACTCAATATATTGAGTGTCAATTTGCTCATTACAAGACAATTTGACCATCTTTTTATCTTCAAGTTATTTTCTTGTGTTTTGTGTTAAGAATATGACCCACATTTATGTGAGTTTAAATTACTCATGGAGTCATTTTATGTGTATTGGATTATTCCCTCCTACCTGTATACTTTTGGTTTATGGATGAAACTCCACATAATTTATTTAGTATTTTTTCAAATCCTCTTTCGATTTGATGATTTGCACAATTAGCTAGAGTATGCTCTTTTTGTATTTCTTTTATGACTTCCCACATGTGACTAATGTGGAGAGTATTATATGTTTCTACAAGTCTCAAACTCTCAAACATGTAAAGAATAAAAGAGGCTTGTAATGTTAAATTGGGAATTTATCTATTGATCAATTGTATAATCATTCCTTTGTACAAAGTATTTCAAAATAGGAGACAACTAAGTTTTTATGTGTGTTTAAAAGCCTTATTTCAAAAGTTTTTATTCTCTTTACCCTAAAAGAAAAAGTAATACAAAATTTTTATAACTACTTATCCAGTCCTTCATTACTCATATCAACAAAATTGAGCACCATAGTGAATTATACGTAGTATTTCCTCTGTTCTACAAATATTGCAATAAAAATGAAATTACGCATTCTAAAGTACATTTTATATGTTAAATATCTATAATTATATAAGAGTAAAAATTATAAAAAGTTGATATTATGAAAGTATTTTACAAGACAAATCTAACAAGATCCCACATTACTATATTTTACTTTACATATAAATCATAATTTGTAGTCAAACAAGCGTGATGAATAGTGCAAAAGTCCAGTTGTTGCAATATTACTGGAATGGAGGAAGTATAACAACTTGAGGCACCACTTCTAGCCTACAAGTCTCTATCAATAACACTTTATGGCATTAGGACTGTAGCTACTTATATGAGGCCACTCCAATTTCTTAAATCACTCGGTATTCCAATCGTTTCCTTTTATTTGCTTCAATTTTTATTTTGAGTTATCTTCATAAGTTTAGATCATACTTTCTCCGTTTTATTAATATTGCAACAATGGACATTTTGCACTATTCATCACTTTTGTTTGACTATATAATATGATTTATACGTTAAGCAAAATATAATCATGTGGGATCTTGTTGGATTCGTCTCATAAAATATTTTCACAATATCAACTGTTTATAATTTTTACTCTTACACAATTATAGATATTTAGCAATATTAGCATATAAAATGTGCTTTAAAATGCGTAATTTTATCCTTATTGCAATATTAATAGAACTGAGAAAGTATATAATAGGTCTACCGTCTACACGATGTTTATATAGGAAAAAGAAAAATCACATGAAATATTGATCAATATTCGTACCACTGCAACACGACGTGTCAACGTACACCTCTTCTTCCATAGCCCATAAGATGACGAAGAACCATGTCAAAACAATAATAACAAAATAAAAAAAATAAAAAGAAAATTACCACAAATAAAACATAAAAATAAAAAATCTGTTTTTTTTAAAAACAGCTTTTTAATCCAAACTGGGTTTTAGAGCTCCATGGCTACCCACGTATCAGCTCTGCATCCCCTTCCTCTCTCATCTCATCCCCTTAATCTTCAACTCAAACTTCTTCCCCTCAATTCTCTCAATTTCACTGCCCCATTTCCTTCTTACTCTTCTAGATCAATTTCTGGTATTTCTCTCTTTTTTTCTTTTTCTCTTATTTATAGTTCAATGTACCTTAATTCTCATTGTTTTGTCTTAAAAATTGTATCTTTTTGGTGGGTTTTTCATATTCTTGCTCAAAATTGTTACAGGTGGGTGTAAATGGAGCTCTATTACTTGTTCTTCCTCAAATGGGTCGAGACCCGACCCGACTGATGATAGAGTGAAGAGCATTGAGGAGCTTGTTGAAGAGAAAAGGCGCGCAGAATTGGCTGCTCGGATTGCTTCTGGGGAATTCACTGTTAAGCAGTCTAGGTTAATTATTCTTAATACCCACTACTTTATGGCTGTTAAATTCTTCTTATATTCTTGTAATTGGTTTTCTGTTTGATTGTTCATACATTTTGGACATGCAGGGCTTTATTTTAGTTACTAGTATTTTTTTCATGTTAATATAATTGGTGGGCATTTGGTTATTTTTGGTTGATTTATGCCCTTGGATATAGATTAGAATTGTGGTTGTGGGTGAAAAACAAGCAGAATAATGAAGGTTGCTGTATATGATGCAAAGAATGAATCACAAAAGAAGAAAAAGAAAATTTATGATAAAAGTGGTGATGGTATAATCAAGTATTGTATTTTTTATCCTATGTTTTTGCGGTTCGAGGTGATCACTATAAATTTGTTGGGGTTCATTACTTCATTGTGTAGTGGAGTAGGAATGACATTGGCACTTGGAAGTGGGAAGGTTGTCGAATTTTCAATTTCTTCTAGCTAGACAATGCATTCACTTGTATTTAGTTGTGGCCTGTAAGACATAGGATTTATGTTTACTGGAAACGAAAAGTCCTACTAAACAATCTTGATGATAAACTTGTTACTAGTATGTTTTTTAATCTCTGGTGATAATTCTTTTGTTCTGAATCTCTAGATTTGCTTCCATCAAACAAGAAATACGATGCCAACTTCATATATGTAAAACAATTATGTAATTTATTTCATCTTAATTAACACCTTTGATAACTGCATCGTATGGGAGTATGGGGCCATTTTCATTCAACTTCCTGGTGCCAGTGTTGTTGCAAGTAAATCATTCTAGGATGTGATGTTAACCTCATGACTTGCTTTGCTTTGTCTTTATCCATTGGCTTCAGCTTTCCTATGAGATTGAAGAACAATCTGTCAAAGTTGGGGATTCTTACACCTATTCTGGATTTGGTATTCAAAACTTTTGAAGATTATGAAAAGTTTTCTCAGATTCCTGAGGCAAAAGGTGAAATAGCAGCTATTCGTAGTGAGGCCTTTTTCTTGCCATTGTATGAGCTCTACATCACTTATGGCGGAATATTTAGGTTGAAGTTTGGGCCAAAGGTTGGTTTTCATTCCTTTGCAATTTGAATTCCTTGTTAGATTACATGAATGACATGTATGTAATGTATCTGTGTATATTAGATGTCTGCTTTATCAACTTGCTGTCATTGCAGGCATTTCTTATCGTTTCTGATCCTTCAATTGTTAAGCATATCTTAAAGGACAACTCTAAGGCTTACTCTAAGGTATGAAATTTGATAATTGTTGTATATCCTGCTTTCAGTTTTACATTACTGTAGGTGAGATGCTTTGAAGAGCGTTATTTAGATATAATTCATTGAGTTCATTCGCATTCCCTTGATCAGGGTATCTTGGCGGAAATTCTGGATTTTGTGATGGGAAAGGGACTCATCCCTGCTGATGGTGAGATATGGCGTGTCCGAAGACGGGCTATGGTTCCTTCGTTACATCAGAAGGTAGAATTACTGCAAATATTTTTCAGAATTTCAATTTATCTCTTTCCACATTGATTTAATGGTGATATTCTCTCCTTGCAAATGCAACTCTTTCCACATTGATTTAATGGTGATATTCTCTCCTTGCAAATGCAACTTGATGTTAACTTAATGTTCTGGAGTTGATATGATGGCTTATCAGGCTTGACAATCCTATTCCTTTTCAGTTTGTGACAGCTATGATAAACCTCTTTAGCCAAGCTACAGATAGACTTTGCAAGAAGCTAGACACGGCCGCATCAACTGGGGAAGCAGTGGAAATGGAATCACTTTTTTCGCGTTTAACACTGGATGTTATTGGAAAAGCAGTTTTTAATTATGATTTTAATTCCTTGACCAACGATACCGGGATTGTTGAGGTAAGGTTGAGCTCCATCTCAATCTACTTAGCCATGATCTTTTCACTTGATGTTATATAGCCTCATATTATTCTCTAGACCAGGCTGTTTATGTTGTTTTGAGAGAGGCAGAGAACAGAAGTACTGCACCAATCCCTGTCTGGGAAATTCCTATATGGAAGGACGTGTCCCCTAGACTAAAAAAGGTGAATGCAGCACTCAAGTTGATAAACAGTACACTAGATGATCTGATAGCAATCTGCAAGGTGAATGCTGTGCCTTTTGTAGCTATACTTTATGTTTCTCAGTAATGGTTGCTATTTTGCTAATCAATTTTTTCCAAATAAAAATTTATGCAGAGGTTGGTAGATGAAGAGGAGCTGCAATTCCACGAGGAATATATGAATGAACAAGATCCTAGTATTCTTCATTTTCTTTTGGCATCAGGAGATGATGTATGAAAAAATTTGCGTACTGCGGAAATTTTTTTGTCCAGACCAATAAATTTAAGGCAAACTTGACCTCCGCGCAGGTTTCCAGCAAGCAACTTCGTGATGACTTGATGACTCTCCTAATTGCTGGTCATGAAACATCAGCAGCTGTACTAACGTGGACTTTTTATCTCCTGTCTCAGGTTTACAATTTATCACATAATTTACTTACCACTATGTGTAGCTCATTTGGTTTGTTTTTTCTGGTACTCACTCCCTCCCCCCCCCCCCCACCCCCCCACCCCCCCCCCCCCCCCCCAGCCACCCCACCCCCTTTTGCAAACATGCTTCTGCTTGTAATTTTCTGCCAGTGGTGCCAATCTATTAGGTAAAACATGATTTTGGAGATAGTGAACTATGTAATATCTGCAGCAACTCTGTAACTGAATGTCCTTGCCACTAGCTATTTTGTACACTTTTTTGGTGCTTGATGTGTATGATCTGCGAGATATCTTGAATATGACGGTACTTCATTTGCTCCCTGCAGGACCCAGGAGTAATGTCAAAGCTTCAAAACGAGGTATCCTGAATCGTGCTTTAGGGAGGTTTAGTGATGTTTGGTCATTAGAGGGAGGGAGGGGAAGAGAGAAAGAGAGAGAGAACATTCCGTTGAAGTGTTGCAACTACTTATTGTCATTTGAACTTGCACCTTGCTTAGGTGGATACAGTTTTGGGAGATAGATTTCCATCAATTGAAGACTTGAAAAACCTGAAATACACAAGTCGTGTGATAAGCGAAGTAAGAGTACTTCTCTTTGCTTTTTTACTTGTGCTTGAACTCTTTGACCTTACATATTCTTGTATATTTTCTTTTGCAGTCTTTGAGGCTTTACCCGCAACCACCTGTCTTAATTCGTCGTTCTATGAAAGAGGACATGCTTGGACCATACCCAATCAGAAAGTAAGTTTTAACGTTATACTTTATTTCAATGCTCTGCTTTCCTTTTCTTTTTTTCAATTCACAATATTAGCAACATACTACATGGAAAGTTTTTAACTACAAAATTACATGCTCACCTGTATTTAACCAACTTGATTTTGTATAATTATCCACTCTAAATCTAATTGAACTCATTCCCTTCCTAATAACACCCCCCCCCTAACACCACATGGTGCTAATGAGAGGTTGACGGTGGTGGAGATGGTATGGTATAATCGATGATGGTGGTATAGTGAGGTGCTGGAGAAGGGTTTTCATGGAAGATGGTGATGGTAATAGTGGCTTGGCAGGAGTATTGGAGGCGTGGGGTGGTGAGATGTTTTGACCATATGCCCCTCTCAGGCTCTCACCTTCTCTCCTAATTTTCTTTAATTGTGTGCTAAGCATTTGCTTCCATTATGAAATGGATGAAGTATTATCAGTGAAATCCATTGTAAACGTATTCTGTCGTGCTTGGATTCCTTTATGTTGCATCAAACTGTCTCTCCAGTGATGCCTTGTTTAACTAAAAGGGAAAGGGAGGTTTTCAGCACTTATGACATTACCTTTATTTTCCTCCTGGATGTTTTTTGAAACTAATAAGAGATCAATGTTAATGTTGAAGATAAAGGTAATTGATACCAAAAAAGAGAAAAAAAAAAAAAAAAAAAAAAAAAAAAAAAAAAAAAAAAAAAAAAAAAAAAAAAAATCAGTAAAAATGGAACAAAATTCTCCCGAATCACTAAGGAGAGTTCTCACTTGACTTTTCATTAGTCCCACTTGGAAGTAGAAGCAAATGCATTCATGTGCAGCTTGCTGAAGTATGAAATCAACTGTTTTCTGATCTAAGCATATGTACCACATTTCCATTTGTCTTTTGTACTTTGACATGTTAAGGTAATTTGTATGTAATATCTTTAATGCATAGAATCCTTTTGGAATTTTGTCCACATTTATTTCTTCAATTTTGTAAGCTACCTTCCTTGGGCGATTCTATTCGATAAATTATAAGAGTTTTCTTGGCAGAGATGAGGATATTTTCATATCTGTATGGAACTTGCATCGTAGCCCAAGTCTTTGGGAGGATGCAGATAAATTCAATCCTGAAAGGTGGCCACTGGATGGACCAGCACCAAATGAGACTAACCAAAATTTCAGGTATCTGCTCTGTTACTTTACTGACCTCAAGTTTATAACTATGCAATTGAAGCTTGTGCTCATTCAAGCTGGTGATTCACCATTTTCATTTAGCTAATCCTCTTTATTTTTCGTTTTAAGATATTTGCCATTTGGTGGAGGTCCACGAAAGTGTATAGGGGACATGTTTGCTTCTTACGAGGTAACAAACATGTGCATACAAATTCCAAGACAACCTTAATTCGATTTATCTCGATTTCTCTCAGCTTGGATGAACTTTGACTTGTAATTCACTTTTTGTTGCACAGAACATAGTAGCATTAGCTATGCTTGTTCGACGATTTGACTTTGAGCTGGCACCTGATGCTCCTCCTGTAAGACTGTTGCTATATTTTTTTAACTTTAGATACATGGGATGGGACTTCATTACCGATTAAAAACTTTTGAATTCCAGTTTATCAAATGTGTAGGATTGTATTGTACACGAGACTTCTGTGCAAAATGCATTAATTGGACCCTCATGTGAACACAAGGGTCGTTCTTAAACAGTTAAACCCATAGGCAAAAATTGATGAAGAAGAAGATTCACTTTGATGTGAAAATAAATGGATACTTGTTTCTAGTAATTTATCTATCAATATGTTTGCAGGTGAAGATGACCACAGGCGCAACCATCCACACAACAAATGGTCTTGTGATGAGGGTGAGGCAAAGAACAAGATATCCTGCTACACCCACAATCCCTGTTGTGGAGACTGCTTCTCCTGCAAGTATTACTGAAGCTGCTATATGAAAATATCTAATTGGAAAATGATGTTTTGCTTGTGCTGGATAGAACCGAACTAGAACAATTATCCATAAAAAGGGAAAGGGAAGCTTCACTTTAAACTGCATCAGCATCAAAAAAGAATCAGACAAGTAAGCCTCACCTCCCGATACTTGTTACCATTTACATTCTTATTCTACTGTAGTTACTAGTAGATCTACAGTGCGAACAGCACTCTCCTCCTTATATGAGCACATTATTGGCACTGTTGGTCAACTATGTTGTAAATTATGGCCTTCTTTTTTTCCATACTGTGAAGATATGAGAATTTACAATAGAAAATTTTCAGGAAATTTTAGTATGTATATCTTGTACGTGCAAATGTACACATGATTCTATGTATAAACATCGGAAACTTTTTTTCTTGTAATTCCAGTGTAAATTGTTTACTTTTATGGTTTTAAGGTCACGTTATATGTTAGAGCAATTTTGCTGCTATTGTAGTACTATCTTGACATCTGCAGATAGGATAATGTCATGAATAATTCATCCTTTCCTAAACTGGAGGATCTTTGTATTTGCCTATTTGGCAATATGGAGTATATGTCATATCAATTTTGTGCAAAAGAAAATTTTATGATAGATTTCCTGAATTCTTCCCCACAGGATTTGCACACAAGTACTTGCCCTTTAACTGCATTCCAAAGGGATCGTCACAAGTCAACAATCATTACAAATATCTAACAATTCAAAAAAAAAAAAAAAAAAAAAAAAAAAAAAAAAAAAAAAAAACCTCACACAAATAATCAGATCAGATCAGATCATTATAAGTGGGCTGATATTTTGATATTACTGGAGCAATAGTTACATATTAAAACACAATCATCATACAGCAGCATAAGCAACAGGCTCTTACATAAATACAATGATCTGACTGCTGCAAAAACAACGTATTAACAAAACTGCTTCTTGAGTTGAAAAGGATTACAGTGACATGGTGAGGTGGGTGGTTAGTCAAGTCATTAAGGTGTAATCATGCCTAGATTAGATGGCTCAAAAGACGATCTGGCTTAAATGGACATGCAGCCTAATGTTGGCCCAAAAAACACCCTCTTATCGATAAATGTGATTTATGTCGCTTTTGAAGTTCTGAATGATCCGGCTCAGGGAGATCACGGGGAAAATGCTTGTGAAAGGCATTCACTGCACCAGCGACCCCATCTTCATTTTCCATTGCCTTTGCCAGCTCCACAGCACGTTGTTTAACCTACAATTCATAGTAGGATTCTAGTCAGCCTTCAAAAGTAAGATTAAGGAACAAGAAAGCTATCAATTTCACAGTTGCAATGAGCCAGCAGCCCATATTGCGATAAGTATTTGAAACTTCAATAGTTTAAAACATGTCGGGCTATCAGCGATAATTTAACATAATTTTTTCACAACTTTGGACAAGTTCAGCAAGTCAGACGCATTAAAAGATGGCTGCAGATGGCAAATTCAAAATATGTTGCAAAACGGCCTTAACATGAGAAAGTTTGGCACTTGTCATTCAGGAAAATAACCAGTGCCCAAACATTGTATTTACATGTAATCTATACCAATGATCTTATTGGTACTTTTACACCTCATGTTGGTACAATTAAAATGCACCAATAGGCACTGGATAATTGATATTTTCATTATGACAAACAATTTATGTTTTTTTTTTTTTTTTTTGACAACAATTTATGATTTAAAAACCCTTGCCTTTTCGCAGGAATAACCTTTTGTTTATTACTTCGAAGGCGTTCAAACATGAAAGAAAAAAATCATTTGGGTCCACCATCGGCATAGTAAACAGCCTTTGCTTTCAGGTCCTACTTACTTCAAAGACAACATTTGTCATCCCCCCCCCCCCCCTCTCTCTCTCTCTCTCTCTCTCTTATCCTCCGACAAAACAGACAGCAGATAAAAACTTGATCCATTAAAGAGGCTAGTCGTTTACCATGGGATCCTGCATGAAGCGTATAGCAGAAACCAATTTCTCAAGCGAGAACTCCTCAATTGGGACAGGTGGTGGCCCTACACCCTTTGCATGCACTTGTTCTCCCCAAAAGGGTTGGTCACCAAAGAATGGCACAATTGTTGTTGGACACTGAAGAGATTCATTTTTGCGTTAGACACTGAAAAAAGGGTTTTTTTTTTAAAAAAAAGGGCTGAATAACATGAGAGCAGTTACCGCAGCTTTAAGACCAGCAGCAGTTGTCCCAGCACCCCCATGATGCACCTCCATTTGTGAGGAAAAAAAAATGTCTAAGTTAGACAGGAACATAATCTGCAGAATACTAAAAATGACAGCTCATGCTTGTAGTGAAGAGAAAATGTTAAAAAGGTAAAACTCCAATTCATTAAAAGGCCAAATTGATCCCATGTGGTGATACTGGAATCTAGATATAACTATATATATATATATATTATCAACAAAATCACATATTTGAAAAATCCATTACTAGAATAATCTTACCACAGCAGCACATTGCAAAAATAGCCAATCATGAGGAACGTTGTCCAACAGGTACACAAAATCCTTCGGTTCTGCCACTGGGAAGCAGGTATTAGTCAGAAAACAATCAAAAGGCAGCCAAAATATCAATCCTTAATTAGTATTTCTCTATTATCTGATTTTTCCCACCTCTAGTGTTTAAAATTTAAGCAAACTAAATGTACAGCACAAAAAGAAATACTCCGTAAGCTGCTTCATTTCAAATGGTTAAGACATAAATAAGCATGAGAATGGACAATCGATCTGATCAAATAAAGGGAATACTAGAATAAAAAAAATTCCAATACTGCCACATATGTACACTTCATAAAGATGAACCTCGTTATCTGGGAGAAACATTTCCTCAACCCTAAATATTAGACATTCTTCTTTCACTGTATACAGATCTGTTTAGGGGAAGTCTAAGTTCTAAACGGTACACCATGACATCTCATAAGATTGGAATATGAAGAAGGGGTAATCAATCAAAGCCTTAATCCCATAAGTGGGAAAGAAGGGGGAATAAGAACTTTTTTTTTTTTTTTTTTAATTTTAAAGTCAGACTTCAAAAGATGAAATAACATGAGCAGCTTACAATTGCCAAGACCACCCCAGCCTTTGTTGATGATTCCTCTTTGTCCAGTGAGTTCCAGAGCTCGTACAATAATATTAGTCATCTTCTCAGGTTCTTGGACAGGCTATCATAGTTTAGACAACGTACATATCAGTCCACGTTATACCAAATAGCCAAGATTAATTAAGAGAGAGTTCAAAAGAGCTTAAACTACGCACTCAGAATTTCACAAGTACAAAATTTGAACTATTATCTTAAACAGAATCTACTCTCTACAGACCCCAATGCCTCTGAGTCTTTGATAACTATTTTAGCCTTACCTCTCCAACAAAGAAGTTAATCTAGCATTGACCCATATTTAAAAGGAAATTGAACCGTAAAAAATTTATAAATCATATTCTGCAATTAAACTTACAGTCATTTAAAACACTTTATTACTAACTACCGGAACATTGTTGTTCAAGCGTTCAACAGATTCCATAGAAAAATTAAAATAGAAACATCCAGCACCTCCTCCTGTATTGATGCAAAAGAGGGTACTTACTAGGCTTCCAAATCCAATATATATTGGCTTTTGACCCTTTTCAAGCCATTCAACAAGATCTTCTGGAGGTTTGTAATTTGAAGCCAGGTCAAGGAAACAGAAACCAACTACGTCAATTTTGGGTCCCCAATCTGCAAGATGATAAGGTACAAATATTACAGACAATAAAGGTGTAGGAAAACTGCCCTAATATAACATTACCTAATACACATTAGACAGAACTCTCACAGAGGAGTGTTCAATAGGACCCCATTGATAAATATGAAGATACATGACGGTAGAAGATTCAGACATACATTTGTAAAAATCCACACAAGTCAGAATTCAAGTGCATACATCATTCTCCTGTGGGTCCAGATTTTGCCAATAATTAATGAATAGGTAACAGTAAAAACAATCGTCAGCTAATGAAAGGAAAATGCCCGTAATAAAAGAATACATCAAGTTTTCAAGTAGAAGAAGAATGGGGAAAAGGCCACAAATTAAATTAGGTAACAGTAAGTATAGTTGTCAGCTAATGGAAAGAAATGCCCATGATAAATGAAAACTAGTTTTCAACTAGACGAAAAAAATTGGGGACAAGGCAGCACATTTATTTCTCCAGGGAAACTAAGAGCAACTGACCGAGAAATTAGTTTCCTGATTTATGGCTTTAAGACATGGTAAAGGAGAAGATGATACACGAACCCATAACACCAAACTGGGTGAAGGAACGTCTCACCACTGGATTAGTTAATATAATAAAAGGTATAGCACATCAAAAAGAAAGCAAATGTAATATACTCCCTCTCCCTTAATTTATTTATTTTTTTTTTTAAGAAAAAAAAAATACTAGATGGGACCATCACGTCCATAAGAGTACAAGAAAAGCTAGAAAACCACTTTTAAAATATTTCTGACTCTTCTCTCTGTCATATCAACCTTGTCTCTCTCAATTCACTTCCAGATCTTGTACTCTGTATTTTGCTTTCAAATTTTCTTTATTCTAATTAATTTACTAATCTTATAATTATTACTCTCGGCATATTAAAAGTAAACAACTAAATAAAACAAAAGGCAAATCAGCAAATGTATCATGTAATTGAGAGTCTTCAGATGCAAGGTAATACAGGTCAAGTGCTTCACTGGCCAAGGTAAGGCGATTTCAAAGAGGCGCAGAAGGATTTAGATTAACTCAGTTCCCCTTCAAGCCTTTTTAAACATTGACTACTCTAATTGCCAAACCTAAATGTGAAAAGAAATTATGGATGGATAGAGTATTAATTAACATATCTTGTAACAGACCATAAAACCAATTTTTAAAATGTAGCAATCAAACCAAAACAAAAAAATCATTTTTCAAGTGCACAACCAATAAATCCAGAATAAAATTTCGGAGTACTGGGAACAAAAATCACTTACCTTTAGGTTTGGGAACAAGGTGAGGGCTCCAAATATATCCATAGGGGGTATCAGGAGGAGCACTATAGGAAGGTTTTAAGTATGTTACAGGTCTCAATTTCAGCTTTTTCTTCCTGAATTCATTTATCATGTCCCGTATTCCAAGCCAAATCAATGCATCAACAACTTGGTAAGAGAGCTGCAAGCATATGCTGACATTTAGATGAATGGCCAACCATATACAGAGTATTTCCAATAACAACTTGCATTACAGAGTGTTGAGGAAAGCATTACTTACTCTATACGCAACCGATTGCTTAACCCGTGACAGAGGATGCGGAAACTCACTAGTGGGCCTGCAACAAATGAGCCACCAAGCACTCTTAATTTGACATTTTTGAGTTTGGGTACAGAAGTCCCATTCATGCAC